ACAAATTTAAAATGTAATATAATTGATCAGTGTATATTAGCCTACTTTGCAGGAGAATACTATCCCAATGCAGTTGGCTATATATATGCATAAATGTACCGGGTAATCATAATATCAATCTGGATCAACTAATATATATATATCTCTACCAACACAGTACTAATCATAAAAAAAGATACATATACTGTATCTATACATGAATGTACTGGTATAACATATGATAAAGGATGAGTGCTAAATATGAACTAGGTACTATCTATGTGATACCTCATCATTTTAAATCATCTTACCCCGTAATCCAACGATAGGATATAGAAAAAATTTATAAAAATAATCAAAAAAGGAAAGAAAAAGGGTATACTAGATGGGAAAGAAGAAAGATACTTGATACCAACAGCATGCAGAATACCAATTAAAATACTCCATACCGAAGATGCATAAGGATAAAGAGAATCACCCAGGAAGACTCATAGTCAATGGGATTGGCTCAGTAACAGAAAGATTGGGACAGTGTAGGATTTTTAGACACATATAATACTTCTTTTAGTGTCTTGAAACGATTATGAATGAAAGAGACGTTGAAATAAAAAATAAAGTGTGATTTTATTCTATCACACAATGGCTTAAAATAAAAAAGCGTATGTGATCTTGTCTTGTTCAACGCAGCTGAGTCCGAGTAAGAAGACGGAAGTGACGTTAATGACTATTTCTTGTCTTGAAGCACCTGTTCCAGCTTCTCAGAATGTCCTTATGTGAGTCTGTTTGAACAGCCATGTGTGTGTGTGTTAGAGTGTCACTGTTAGCGATCCTCTGTCAGACTCCCTTATCGTCTTCTATGAAGAAAATACACGTCATAACTTTGGGATCTTGAGGCCTTGTATGGAAATCAGTACTGCTTAGCAGAGCAATTTCATAGAAGGGAGGGGACGCTATATATATATATATGGAGATTTGATTGACAGGTACATATGCTGATGTACATAATAAGCTGATGATGTAACCTCAACTATCATATTTAAATGATAATATAACTTAAGAACGTATCTTTACAACATCACAATGTATAATCACTAATCTACATATGTAACAATATTACCAAATTATAAATCATACTAAATACACACAGATACTATTAAAATACATTATATAATAGTTATTCTATAGTAAATCACTTCTAATACCCTTGACCTTTACTACCAGTCTTCTAACCAGCTATGCCTTAATATAGAATACTCAGCTATCAGCTGGTTTAGCTAGTCTCAGCTTAACTAACTCATATTTTTCGGTCTCAGCTATAACTGAAGAATTGTAATACCATTTTAAGAATTTTTTAGAAGTGCCCGCGCCCTTAGAATAAATGAATGACTAATTCGTGTAAATGATATATATACATACATATAACACGTGGTTTTGAAATATAATAATGGAAATGTGCAATAAATCCTCTCCAAGTAAACAACTATAAATATGCTTAGAGAAGAAAAAAAGGAACAACTGTGACTTGTATAACGTGGAATGTGAAATCAAATAATATGGAATAATAAGTCCACAATGCTGAATGAATAAAAAATATAAAAAATAATAATAATAATGTGTCCAAATAAATATAAACTTCCAAAAAATAGTGCAGATCCTTCCTTGGGTAGTGACACTTTTATATGCTCACCTTCCTGTAAGCCTAAATCTAGGCTGAACACATGGTTGGATTCTATTAGGTGATAATGTGCTGGAATCCTTCAAGGTGAGATGCGCTGTGGAAATGTGCTTGGTTCTCCTGGATAGCCATTATCATGCCTAGTGTAGACAAAGAGATGTTTCCCTCCTTACACTGCTGTGCTTGGCTTCATCCCCTCGCTCTTCTCTCTCGGGTGTCCTCTCCCACCATGTATACTCGTGTTTACTTGGAGAGGATTTATTGCACATTTACATTATTATATTTCAAAACCACGGGTTATATGTATGTATGTATATATATCATTTACATTAATTAGTCATTCATTTATTCTAAGGGCGCGGCACTTCTAAAAATTCTTAAAATGGTAGAATTACAATTCTTCAGTTATAGCTGAGACCGAAAAATGAGTCATTAATTTATTCTAAGGGCGCGGCACTTCTAAAAATTCTTATCTTGGTTACTACATTGCACACATATATGAGGATGTGATCAAGTGCCAGCGAACTACATCATATACAACTTTTATTTATTTTGTGGCTCACAAGTATTTTACAATCTTACTGTAATACTACCATTTGTCAAAGACCATTCACACATATTAATATTAACCACTTCCTGTCCGGACACTTTTACCCCCTTCCTGTCCAGGGCAATTTTCAGCTTTCAGCGCTATCACACTTTGAATGACAATTGCACGGTCATGCAATACTGTACCCATATGAATTTTTTTACCATTTCTTTGAGACAGATAAAGCTTTATTTTGGTGGTATTTATTCACCGCTGGGATTTTTATTTTTTTTTTTACTATGTAAATGAAAATGTCCAAAAATTTTGAAAAAAAATGTTTTTTTTATAAAATTTTGCAAATAATCAATATTTCATCATAAATCTTGGCCAAAATTTATTCCGTTATTTTTTTAGTAAAAAACAAAAATCCAAATTAGTTTATAACCAAAAATTATAATTTTTAAACATTTTTTTTTACATTTAATTAAAATTTTTTTTTATTATTATTTTTTTATCTATTTATTTTTTTTACATACTGTCACCCTAGCAGTACAGTGTCACCATGGTGACACTGTACTACTTGTGGGGGGTGATGAAGATTTTTTTTTTTTTTTTTTTACACTGATTGCTTTTACACCCATATAGGATGTAAAAGCAATCATTTCTCTTTCTCTCTGTCTGCATTCTTGCAGTCATTGAGAAGTACTGAGTGAGCTGTGTTTGGTCACAGCTTGTCACATGGTACAAAGCTGTTGTGAATAGCCTTGTACCATGTGACCTCTGTGATCATTCACAGATTTCACACATAGTAAGCAATGATGTCACAAGTGACATCTTGCTTACTACTTTGCATGTGATCACTGATTGGCCACCGGATCGTGGTGCTGCGCGCTCCCAAGGAGCACGCACAGCTAGAAAAGGCGGGTGCCATTTATGAACGGCAACCCGCCTCTGGACTGCCACCGCCCTGCCCTGCCGTTTATAAACAACAGGCGGACGGCAAGTGGTTAATTATGATTAATCATAAAAACCAAATACTTTGCAAGCTTGCCATCAATGTAAGTGCGGAATCATGAATTTGATATATTAATTTTCTTCAGACAGTATATAGACATCTTTCTACAACCGGAAGTACAAAATACTAAAGCCTTCTTGAAAGACACAAAACATGTACAACAGTTATTAGAGGAAATTAATGTTTGGAAGACATAATCTTCGCAACATCTGATGTAGGATCACTGTACACGATTATTAACCATAGAGATGCAATGGAAGCGGTAAAATGAGCTCTTGATAAGAATGAAAATATGGAAGACAAACAGAAGAAATATATAAGGAGTGAAAGGAATTGAATCTCGTTCCCTTCTGCACTGACTTCCGTCAGCCCCTGGCATCGACCAAAAATTACCTCGGATCCGGAGTTCACCTGAGACACAAAGGAATGGCAGACAGACACAAAGTAGTATCTCAGAATGAACTGAATTTATTCTTCCGTGTTTAAACTTATATATGAAACTTAAAACAAAGCATAGAAATATAAGAGCCAATCAATTGACAGGTATGCATTTAACCAATTAGAATATTACATACGTCACTCATGCCCAATCAGTTGGCATATATGTTAATTATTAGTATATGCGTCAATGCTTGAACTTTCAGACACCTTCAGAAAGCAGACAGTTCCTTTTTACCGTTGGCCTAAAATTATTAATACACTTTCAACAGGATGTAGCTCACCGCAGACTTTCAGTCTTAGGCTTAGTTAAGGGAAAAAGGGGAAGTTGCACCTGGACAAGGAAAAAAAGAGGAACTTCCTAACTCCTGACAAAATACCGTTTAAAACAAGAAAATCAATTCTTTTAAAATACAGGCTTGAAATGGATGCTGATTCTTAAGATGGACGGGCTTTGGCTCAGAGAGACAAGATGGTGGAACATCAAACTTAGGGGCTAATCCCTTCAAACCCCCTCTTAGGTCACACACACGTGACCTTACACCTTAGTCACAGGTTGGTACCTGGGGCCCTTAGTAGGTATTCAGGGTTCCCCATATACCAAACCAGGTTTCAAATAAACTGACCAGTGGATTTTCTACTCCTGAGCTTTCAGCTAATTCTTCAAACAATATTTGGAGGTTGTGAAGGGCTCTAATAATACTTCCATCAGAAACAGTGTTATGGGGAATAAGAGTACAACCGCAGGAGTTAAACATTTTACATACTTTCCCTTTATCAGCTAATAACATATCAAAACAGTATGGTTCTACCAAACTTTTGTTAACCATAGCCAATGTAGTTAACCCAATTTACATTCCCGCTAAACTGTACCCATATAATACAAATTCTGTAACAACATTACTATGTTCAAATCAGGCAAAATTTCCTGATACTGGTTTAGAGACTTAAAAGTAAATTATATAATCTGGTAACAGGGAATTTTCTTAACCAAATCAGTACATTCCTTCTCAGTGATATTATCTTTGTACACTCTAATTAGACAGAACATATTAGTTTCTTTTTCCTGAAAAAAGAAAGGAACCAGTCTCAATGCCCAATCCATCTTTTGATTGCATCATTACTCCTGTATTCTCCTAGCCACCAGGGCGAGCTGCCTACGGCAGGGGCAGGGACTGTTAAAAGGAACTGGTGGCGGTTGTTCTCTGAAAATACTATTCCTAGCGGATTGGAAATGGCTAGTAACAAAACAATAAACAATGGGATCCATACAACTATTAAAACTACTCAAAGTTACTGTGACATGGTACACAATGAGGATGACATCCCGAGACACCTAACTGCGGACACAGAAAACCACTTGACTAACATGAATGGGAGTGAAACAGACTGTGAAGATGACCAGCACCATTATGAGGAGCTGTACCGCCCTCACCCGTCTCTCTCGGCTTTGGTTCATTTGTATTGACTTGGACAAAGTCCACATGATCCGCAGGGTGTAGAAAACAACAATCACCAAGGGAAACAAAATACTCAAAACCTGTCAGCATAAGTAGCTGGAAAAAACAACAATGTTTGTGGTTAATCGTTGTGGTCAGTATGATGAAAGTTACAATTACAGCAAATATCCAAATCAAAACACAGATGCATTTGGCATAACTGGGATTTCTCCATCTGCATGAGGCTCTGGCTTGCACAATGGCCAGGTAGCGATCAACACAGATGCAGGTCAGGAAAAGAATACTACAGTACATGTTCACAGAATACGTAAAACTGTGAACATAATAGCAGATATAACAGGTCTCTACATTACGGTAATACATAACAATTCGTGCTGGTAGAGAGAGACCCACTAAGAGGTCTGTCACTACCAAGTTAATGGTGTAAATAACAGAGGGTGTCCTTACTTTGGTCTGAAAACAGAACACATAAAGGGCCAAACTGTTCAGTATTATGCCCATCAAAAAAATAAAAGAGTTAATAATTAGCAACGCCACCCAAAGGCCATAGAACCTTTGATGCAAGGTTTCACCTGGGTTGGCTTGTTGAGGGATTTGGAATTGTTTGTCATTTGCTATAGATTCATTCAGTTCAAGTTCTTTGGATGGGTTGAAGTTTCCAGGGCTGACGAAGCACTCCATGTAGTTCAGATCAATCTCTCAGGACTTCTCTGGCTGCTTCTTCTGTATCTGTGTCTTTGCCTTTGTCTTGCTTCTTAGGGGCTTGGTTCACCCTTTTTACACGGCTGGCATGGATCCAGGCCTTGGAATCCTCAGTCAGAACAGCGGTCCTAGTGACAGCGATCACGGAAACAAGTTGGTTCCTGTGAAAAAAAGAAAAAAGTGCCAGCAACATTTCCTTCAACTTTGTCCAAAGTTTCAATAAACTTTCTCACATATTCTTCCTGAATCAATCCTAAATCCCCTCTTTCTACCATGAGTGGCTGTCTGGCCCAGGGAGTGGGAAAAAACCTATCCATTAAAACCTAAAAAGGGGGGTAACCTGTCTTCTTAGAAGGAATCATCCTTATCTTTATATCTGAACTCTGAGGGACATTTCCACCTAGCGGCTAAACATATCCACAATTACCCAAAAATATTCCTGTCCTTTTCCTACTTCTGGCATGTGTGTAAAATCTACCTGTGAGCGGATAAAAAATGTTAATGTCTTGTCTTGTGAGGATTGTTCCTAATATATGTAATGCATCTAGACACATATGATTTTACCATAAAAGGGGGGGCCAGGGATGAAAAAAAATCCAGCAGTTCACATGTAACCTGCCATCCCCTGTGACCTATCCCATAATACTGTGAGCTGTGACCTACCCCATGATACTGTAAGATGAACAGAGGTGCACTAGCTTCTAGAATACATGGTCTCCCCTCTTGTGACACAAAGTCCAGTTAGTGGAACTTTGGTCACACTAACTACATTCCACTTAATATCTTTAGAAGTAGCAAATGTACTGCAATATTTGATCTAACAGTGACATTTAAAATTGGAGCAGGATCTAAAGTGGGAGGAATATATTTTATTCTCAACTTGGGGTTTAACAACAGTATAACCTCATATTCACTAAGTGGTGGTGTGTAAGGTGGTCTCATGTCCAAGAGTAAATGACATAGCCATTTGAATCACCATCACAAATAATAGCAAACTTCTGAGACACACAGGCATGCCTTGAACCTGTACCAGAACCATCTTGAGAAAAAACAAAACAAAAGGGCGGAGTATACCTCCATGCTCCCCAAGCCAGGATTCCCGACATAGTTTTACAATTTTCCCTAGCATACAGATAAAACATTTGATCATATGCGGGCAGACCAAGACCAGGGGCTATTACCATAGCATGTTTCAAATACACAAAAACATTACACATTTCAATTAACCATTTCTCAAGATCTGACATTTCTAAACCTGTGGTTTGTCTCAAAATACTGTCATAGTAGGAACAGTCAGGTATCCATTGGCGGCAGCAACCAATCATATCAAGAAAGGTAAGCATGTCTTTCTTGGTCAATGGGCGGGGCAGACCCATAAGAGCCGCAGCTCTCTTTGTGACTGAATTTCCTATCACCTTTTGTGAGGACAAGACCAAGGTATTCAACAGTTTCTTAACACCATTATAACTTTGCTTAGACACTTTATGATCACATATAAGATACACACTCCACCTGGCTGGCTGTCCGCACTGAAACCAACTAAACCATGGCTAGGAGTTCATGGCCTGGGGGACTGGAGGACTACAGTATAATCCTGGAGAAATTCATTCCAGATAAAACCTTTACCTCTAAAGTTAAAGGCAAAAAATAGCCATGTCTCCTTAACAACAGGAATTTGCTAAAAAAAACAATTTGTCAAATCAATCACCGTAAAAAAAACAACTCGGCATCAGGTGGGATGGAGGAAATGAGTATTGGTACGTCAGGTACTATTGGGACAATGAGAAGAACATTTATAGCACTCAGGTCCTGCACAAATCTGTAAGAACCGTCTGGCTTCTCAACTAGATTTATTGGGCTGTTGTATGGTGAAATCATCTTTCCAAGGATTCTTGCCTTGAAACAAATTCTCCACCACGGACACTATTCTTACCTCCTGTATTTTAAACAAAAGGGTCTTATCTATGAAACACAGTGTGGCCTTGTATTGGAATGCAGGAAATGAATTCCACATCCAAGGAACTGTCCGCTCAAACTTTTATATTGTTTCAGCAGAGAGTGAGGGGTCATATTTCAATAAACACTGTCATAACAGGGACAGTTGGTATCCCGGCAGATTAAGCTACAATACCTCCTTTCCCAGAGTTTTAGATTAACACTAAGCTTTCCCAAGAGAACAAATCAACTGGACAATTGGGTATGATTTTGAATAAATGCTCTAGCAGCAAAACAAAAAAAACTGAAAAAGATGGTGCTTTAAAAATGTCGGTGGGTTTCCCACCTGTTCTTATAGAGAGTTTTTCAGCGAATCCTCTCCACATACTGTTTCAGGTGGTGAACTCGGGATGTCTGTTACATCCAGACTATCACTCTCCCTTAATACCAGGGAACCTGAACCAGAGGATTCTTCAAAAAAATAAATCCTCCTCAGTAATTGGAGTGAGAACAATTCTCCCTTCGGCTTCATGTGTGGCAGAAGTCTGAACTACACTCTGAGAATCCTCGGGAGCCTGAACTGTAGAAGGCTGTGTGGCAGGAATTTGGACTGCACTAGGTATTTGGTGTGTCTGTGCAGATATTAATACTGGTGATGTGGGAGGTGCAGTTGTCTCCACTATAGGGAAATGGATCCACACTGCCCATTACTTCACTCCATTCTGCTAATCTATCTACCCAGGGATGAATTAAAGAATAACTTGTCCCACAGATACGGGCTACATAATCTATACACGATTCACCAACTTTTGGGAGAGGGGGCTTATTCCTACTCTGACTTCTCCCCATATCTTACACTTGAATATATCTGTATCACAAATCTGTCCTATAGGCTGTAATGACAATTTATCCTATAAAAATGCCTGGACCTAAGATACTTTCTCTAGTCTTTCTCTAGTGACTGATAAAAGTGAAGATTATAACCTGGGTGTACAATACTTTCTAATAATATTCTGCCAATCTTTTCTAGCTTACAACACAATTTAAACAAAACATTTACATAGGCACCCAACTCGGCGTTACCACGCAATCACCTCACCCAGATCATCAACCAATAAGGCTTATCTGTGTGGGGTGGGGCATGTCACACGGAAATTGACAATACCTTCAGTGACCACTGGCCCATACACTTTACCACCTGGGCACTTGTGTCACACAAACAAATTATCTTATACTTCTATGCGATAGGAAGAAAAGCAAAGGTTTACAGGTGAATTATTGGTCAACCCCGGGCTTTTCCTGGTTTCTTCTCAGAGAAACTCTTTTCCAATCTCTTCTTATAAGAAATTGTGCAGTTCCCAAAACTGCCTCTAGTCTTTTCCAAAAGACCTTTGTGCTCCCCACAGCACTTTTTTTTGCGCCTGGCCACTGACGTCTTAAGACGCGAAGCCCAGTGCTTACCTTAGGGCATGAGATTTCAATCAGAGCTTTCTGGCAAGAGACTATCTGGCAAAATGACAAAAAATCTTACTTACCAAAAAAGATGATTATCTCATCCCGGACACGAGCCCCCAATTGAAAGGAATTGAATCTCGTTCCCTTCTGCACTGACTTCCGTCAGCCCCTGGCATCGACCAAAAATTACCTCGGATCCGGAGTTCACCTGAGACACAAAGGAATGGCAGACAGACACAAAGTAGTATCTCAGAATGAACTGAATTTATTCTTCCGTGTTTAAACTTATATATGAAACTTAAAACAAAGCATAGAAATATAAGAGCCAATCAATTGACAGGTATGCATTTAACCAATTAGAATATTACATACGTCACTCATGCCCAATCAGTTGGCATATATGTTAATTATTAGTATATGCGTCAATGCTTGAACTTTCAGACACCTTCAGAAAGCAGACAGTTCCTTTTTACCGTTGGCCTAAAATTATTAATACACTTTCAACAGGATGTAGCTCACCGCAGACTTTCAGTCTTAGGCTTAGTTAAGGGAAAAAGGGGAAGTTGCACCTGGACAAGGAAAAAAAGAGGAACTTCCTAACTCCTGACAAAATACCGTTTAAAACAAGAAAATCAATTCTTTTAAAATACAGGCTTGAAATGGATGCTGATTCTTAAGATGGACGGGCTTTGGCTCAGAGAGACAAGATGGTGGAACATCAAACTTAGGGGCTAATCCCTTCAAGGAGATGTCTAGAATTTTGTCTGGAGCATGCATACTTCTGGTATGATGGTAAATACTATAAACAGGAAATGGGAGTATCGGTGGGAGCCAAATTTTCACCAAGCATTGCAAATCTATTTATGTCAAGATGGGAGGAGATGGTATTTAATCATAAACCACAAGAGCTCATTCTATACCGTAGATTCATCGATGACATCTTGGTCATATGGAAGGGTAGTAATAGCTCTTTAAAAAACTTCATGATGAGAATGAATAACAACCAAAAAAAATATAATACTAACGTGGGAAGTGAGTAGGGAATCCATACATTATTTGGACCTAAGTAATAGCGACAAGACAAAATAAGATCATTACTCACACATACTTTAAACCCACTGACAAAAATTGCTATATCACGATGGATAGTTGTCACCACATCACATGGTTGATGAACATTCCAAAGGGACAGTTCATGAGACTCAAAAGAAATTGCACTATACCCACAGGTCATATTAGTGATGACAATTAGACAATATCTTGGCTGGGAAACATTTTGCATGGTGGACCGTAAAGATTGGCGTAAAGTAATAGTAGATTTATTATACAGATCCATAGGTCACACCTAACGATGGACAGATGTGGATAAAATAGGGGCAGAGGGATTTGGGTCCAGAACAGGGACTGTCCCCTTAAATAGGAACATTTGGGCGCAATACATAATCATTGCATCACACGTTAAGTAACGAATGGCAACCATAAATATAAGAACAAAATTATCATAATTCTTGCCAATGTGTGAACTTATAAATGTAATGTCATATTAACCACTTGCCGCCCTGCCACTGCATATATACGTGTGCAGGGCGGCACTGGGGCGCAAAAGCACGTTTTAAAACGGGCTCCGCGCTCCCGACGTTTTCGCGGGCAGGGGGCGCGCGCGCTCCCACCGACCCCCGCGGGTGACACCATTTGATCCCGGAGGGATCAATCATTCAATTTCAGCCAGTGATGTCTGGCTGAAATCAGATGATCGGTCCCTGTCCTATCCTGTCCTGTGTTGACAGTTACACAGGACAGGATATGATGTCATTCTTCTCTGTCTGGACACATTTTGTTCCAGACAGAGAAGAAGACATACAAATTGTAAAACAGCACATACCCACAGTTAGAACACACCTAGGACACATTTAACCCCCTGATCGCCCACCCCCCCAGTTAACCCCTTCACTGCCCTGTCACCAGTGTCACTGATCAGTGAACTGATTTTTACTGATCACTGTATCAGTGTAGCTGGCGACTTCCGATAGTGTTAGCGCTCCTCTCAGATAGCGCCAGTTTGCCTGCTAGTACACCAGTAATCCCATTTAACCCCTTAATCTCCCCCCCGTTAACCCCTTCACTGCCCTGTCACCAGTGTCACTGATCAGTGAACCGATTTTTACTGATCACTATATCAGTGTCGCTAGCGACTTCCGATAGTATTAGCGCCCCTCCCAGATAGCGCCAGATTGCCCGCTAATACACCAGTAATCCCGTCTAACCCCTTGATCACCCTCCCAAGTTAACCCCTTCGCTGCCCTGTCACCAGTGTCATTAATCGGTGAACAGATTTTTACTGATCACTGAATCAGTGTCGCTGGCGACTTCCAATAGTGTTAGCGCCCCTCCCAGATAGCGCCAGTTTGCCCGCCAGTACACCAGTAATCCCATTTAACCCCTTGATCACCCCCCACTCCTCCCCCAGTTAACCCCTTCACTGCCCTGTCACCAGTGTCATTGATTACAGTGAACAGATTTTTACTGATCACTGTATTAGTGTCACTGGTGACTTCCGATAGTGTTAGCGCCCCTCCCAGATAGCGCCAGTTTGCCCGCTAATGCACAGGATTTTTTTTACCAAAAACATGTAGCAGAATACATTTTGGCTTAAATTTATGACTAACTTTGAGTTTACAATATATTTTTTTATAGCTGAAAGTAGAAAATATTGTTTTTTTTCAAAATTTTCGTGATTTTTTTGGTTATAGCGCAAAAAATAAAAAGTGCACAGGTGATCAAATACCACCAAAAGAAAGCTCTATTTGTGTAAAAAAAAAGGAAATAATTTTGTTTGGGTACAGCATTGCATGACCGCGCAATTATCATTTGAATTAGTGCAGCGCCGTGTAGCAAAAAAAAGGCGTAAATTACAGTATCTATACCATAGTTTGTAGACGCTATAACTTTCACACAAAGCAATCAATATACACTTATTGGGATTTTTTTTACCAAAAACATGTAGCAGAATACATTTTGGCCTAAATTTATGACTAACTTTAAGTTTACGATATATTTTTTATAGCTAAAAGTTGAAAATATTGTTTTTTTTTCAAAATTTTCGTTTTTTTTTTGTTTATAGCGCAAAAAATAAAAAGCGCACAGGTGATAAAATACCACCAAAAAAAAGCTCTATTTGTGTGAAAAAAGGACGTAAATTTCGTTTGGGTACAGCATTGCATGACCGTGCAATTATCATTTGAATTAGTGCAGCACCAAACAGCAAAAAAAGGCCTGGTCATTAAGGGGGGTAAATCCTCAGGAGCTCAAGTGGTTAAGAGCTCCTTCATATGTGTATAATAATAAGTTATAATATATATATATATATATGTATATATATATATATATATATATATATATATATGCAGTTTAACAAAGACATATACACTGAAAAAGAGGAAGAAAAAAAAACCCTACGTGATGTTTTATTTAATTCCTTCTGTCAGTCAACCAACTTCCCACAATAGGTGGAGTCCAGGCATCATACATATAAAGAACAAAGTCTCCCAGCTCTCGATACCAAACATCTGCATAATCACCTACCAAGATGTTCTTTGCTGTGAGTCTCCTCCTGCTGTGTGCCGGAATCTCAGCCTCTGGAGGTAAGACCTCTCTCCCATCTCAACTATTTCTACATACAGTTATACGGTGATCAGCCACTATCATTGAATATTTTATACTACAGTAGTCACAGCAGTCTTCCTTTTATAGTCAGAATCAGAATTCAGTATTTGGCAGTTTGGAATGGGCAGACTAATTGTAATGATTTCTATATTGCCTTGAGTTATTGCACATTACTGAGAAAGAAAGAAAGAAAGAATGAAAGAAAGAAAGAAAGATAGATAGATAGATAGATAGATAGATAGATAGATAGATAGAAGGTAGGATGGATCCATGCTTTCATGTTGTTTATGCCAAAGTCTGACCCTACCATCTGAATGTCGCAGCAACCAGTCTGCCCAGTCTCCTCTGAACTCTGATATTAACAATGCATTTTTGTGCACACAACTGCCACTCACTGGATATATTGTTATTATATAACCACTGATTGGATGGATGCATGGTTGTGCGTGAAAATCCCAGGAGATCAGCAGATTTTGAAATACTCAGACCAGCCCTCTCTGGCACCAACAACCATGCCTTGTTCAAAATCACTTAAATCCCCTTTCTTCCCCATTCTGATGCTCAGCTTGAACTTCAGCAAGTCGTTTGCACTTCAGTTTGTGTTACCAAGCAATTGAACAGGTGTATCTAATACTAATAAAGCGGCCAATGAGTACAGTGCATCCAGAAAGTATTCACAGCGCTTAACTTTTGCCACATTTTGTTATGTCACAGCCTTATTCCAAAATGGAATAAATTCATTTTTCTTTCCTCTACATTCTACAAATAATACCCCATAATGACAACATGAAAGAAGTTCATTTTGACATTTTTGCAATTTATTAAAAATAAAAAATGAAAATAAACACATGTACATAAGTATTTACAGTAAATGAATCAAAAAACAAGGTGTCGCGCTCCACTGACAATAATTAAGATGTGAAATATATAAACATACATAAATGTAAATAAATGAAAAAGAAATATATTAAGAATTAAATAAAATAAAATAAATAAAGTAAAGTGACTTAGATGTGCCTTTAAATGGTGTAATAAAAATAAATAACATATAGTCCACCAATCTTTAAATTATGTGCTCCTTCACCAGTTGTGCTCTCACCTAACGTATATGGCCAAACTGTTAAGTGAGGTCAAAAAAGCTTGTGTCCCTTTAATTGGAACTCAGAGATGAGTAGATGAATGTATCCCTATTTCCCAGATGGATGGATGGATGGATGAATGGAGTGTTTCCCTTTTCCCAGCAGGGGGCCTCGCTACTTCCTAGAGACCTATTTCCTGGAGGCAGATGGATGGAGTTATCCCTCTTCCCACTAGGGCAGTGATGGCGAACCTTTTTGAGCCCGAGTGCCCAAACTGCAACCCAAAACCAACTTATTTCTTTCAAAGTGCCAACACTGCAATGAAACCTGAATATCGAGCTTTTGGTTTAGAAAAAACAACTCGTACAGTAGTGCAAACTAATTAACAGTACAGGGATGACCAGAGACTGCGGACAGTACAGGGATGACCAGAGACTGCGGACACAGTACAGGGATGACCAGAGACTGCGGACACAGTACAGGGATGACCAGAGACTGCAGACACAGTACAGGGATGACCAGAGACTGCGGACACAGTACAGGGATGACCAGAGACTGCGGACACAGTACAGGGATGACCAGACACTGCGGACACAGTACAGGAGATGACCAGAGACTGTGGACATGGTACAGGAGATGACCAGAGACTGCGGACATGGTACAGGGATGACCAGAGACTGCAGACACAGTACAGGGATGACCAGAGACTGCAGACATAGTACAGGGGATGACCAGAGACTGCAGACACAGTACAGGGATGACCAGAGACTGCAGACACAGTACAGGGATGACCAGAGACTGCAGACACAGTACAGGGATGACCAGAGACTGCGGACACAGTACAGGGATGACCAGAGACTGCGGACCCAGTACAGGGATGACCAGAGACTGCAGACACAGTACAGGAGATGACCAGAGACTGCGGACACAGTACAGGAGATGACCAGAGACTGCAGGACACAGTACAGGAGATGACCAGAGACTGCGGACAGTACAGGGGATGACCAGAGACTGCGGACAGTACAGGGATGACCAGAGACTGCGGACACAGTACAGGGATGACCAGAGACTGCGGACAGTACAGGGATGACCAGAGACTGCGGACAGTACAGGAGATGACCAGAGACTGCGGAAAGCACAGGGATGACCAGAGACTGCGGACAGTACAGATGACTGCTGACCTTTGGGGAGGGAGGGGGAGCGGGTACCTGAATTTGACAGGTACCCGCTCTTACTTCCGCAGAGTTTTTTCTTTATCTTACCTGTTCCTTTATCCAGCCGCGCGCTGTCTTCCCGGCTTCTGTAGTGTGGGCGCTCGTCGGACAGCCGGATGCCCAGTGCGCATGCGCGAGAAGCGCTGCGCTTTGTGATTGGTCCGGCGGCTTCTGGGATCTGTCATGTGTCCCAGGTACCGCCTTACCATTGACAAAGAGCACTGCTTCTTGCGCATGCGCACTTGGGACCCGGCTGTCACGCACACTACAGAAGCCGGGAAGACAGCGCGCCGCTGGATAGAGGGACAAGTACGGTCCCACTGCAGAGCTGAGCGGCCGGCCCGGTATTCTGACACGGCGGCGGTGGAAATACCGGACCGGCCGCTCTATATTCGCTCCATAAGACGCACTGACATTTTCCCCCCTTTTTTGGGGGAAAAAAAGTGCGTCTTATGGAGCGAAAAATACGGTATTCTCCTGGCGTGCCCACAGATAAGGCTCGGCGTGCCGGCTGTGGCACGCGTGCCACGGGTTCGCCATCACTGCACTAGGGGGTCTCTTCACTCCCTTCAGATTTTTCTCTCCATATGCATAAGTACAATGTAATTTAAAAAATAGAATATAGTACTTTATCTTCTTTTTAAAATATTTATTAAACAAATGTAGTGCACTCACATGAAATTTTAATTAAAATCGCTTTTTATACAAAAATACAGGATCCTCAATGTGTTTGCAACACTCCAGTATACTTGCTGTGTAGTTGCCTTTAAGCGTCGTGATGTAAGAGCCCTTCCCCTACGCGTTACGCCACCGGGTCACGTGGCTTCATCAGGGGGAACTGATTGGACGACACCGCGCTCATTGATTTATATAGGAACTTTGGCCACCAATTTCTAGTGGTCCGTACGGTGGCGGCCATGTTTGGAGGGCTAGATATGTCTTATAGTGATCGGAGTTAGCGCGATCAGCATGCAGTGTGTCAGATCCATCAAGATAGCATGATGGATCCAGCTGCATCGCTACTTACACCACTCTCCCCCACCATATTTGTAGCTAAATGGAATAAAATGCTAATATTCTGACAATAGTTGTAATAGGTAAACTTCAATATATTTGCTGGATACATTAATCCTATGTGAGTATATGATTCCCAATAATGAGCACAATCTGATTGCCAAGGTTATTATGGGGAAAAAAAAACAGCTATCTGAGCATGTAGTATTGTGTGTGGGGGGCACACATACGAAGATACATTTTAAATAAAATGTTTAGAAATAAAAATATTACATTTAAAATACACATATCCAAGAATAAAAATAATTAAAATTCAAGGTACAATTGTGCAAATTAATTAATAAGCCATACATATAGCATCACTAATACTCTATGTCCCTATATTAAAATAACCAATCCTATAATAGTGTGTACCGCTTACATTCAAATATTTTAATAAATACCAGTGTCTGCATTCTACCCATAGGCGGGTGACTGTATCTAGTACTACTGCTGCCATATTCTTACTAATTAAAAATGTTCTGGATGTTAAATTGATTTGGTAATTAGTAATAAATAGAGGTTGAATTCACTGTGCAAATAATGCAAAATAATAAAAATAATAAAATAAATAAAAGAATAAAAATATATTATACGTCAGATCAATATTGCTCTGTGAGCCTATGTTATGTTATATTATTTCTATGATTAGTATGAAGAATATATACTAAAATAATTATATAATAAAATTGTAGTCCCAGAGGCGGATGACCATATCTACTACCACTGCTAAGTTTAAATTGTATATTAATGTTATTGTGGATATTAAATTAATAATTCTAGAGGATTGTGATCCTTATTAAAATAAATGTGAAATATATTTTAATAGTTACTAATAAAACACGAGAGGTCAGATTGCTTATTGAAGCCCATTGGAGCTAGACTCTTCATCTCATGAATCCATCTTGATTCTTTTTTACTTAATTATCTGATTTTATTGTCCCCTCTCCAATGACTAGTATGTTTTTCAGTGCCCCCAAATTGCAGAAGACTAGCGTCCTTGTTATAGAATGTGCGCAAATGCTGTGATAAATGATGACATTTGTAACACCTATTTATACTGCAGACATGGTTCTTTATTCTATCTTTCAAGGCTATTTTAGTCCTCCCTCTATTGATAATGTTACAAGGGCATTTTAAAGCATAAACTACTCCCTTCCTATTGCATGAGATAAATTGTTTGATTTTGTATTCCCTCCCAGTGTGAGAATTTTTCTAAAGTGAATCTTTTCAGGTTGTTGGTGACTCTACTACAGCTATAACATCTCCCACATGTATAGAAGCCAATTCCCTGAAAAAACTAACACTCAGTGTGTGTGGGGGGGCTCTATAACATTTTTTGAATCTCAGTACATTCCAGTGTTTTGGAATAATATCCTCCACTGCTCTATATTGTTTATTTTATTGTAAAGCGACTGGTAAATAAAAATTATTTTCTTGTAGTTTGTCCATTAATATGGTGTTTCTATCACACTGTCCTACTACGTGCCTTTCTTTTTATAGCATATCTTGCTTATATCCTTTATTAGTAAACCTCTGTGCTAGAATTGCACTTTGTTCCATGTAGTTTTCCCCGTATATAGTCCGTATCCCTTGTGCAATCCTCTGTATGTGCATAAACTGTCCTCTAGGGACATTCGTAAGCCAGGGCTTGTAATGGCATCTATTTAGCAGGATATATGTGTTTCTACCCGTATTCTTAAAATGAGTTTTTGTGTGCAGTGTGGGTTCCTCCTTTATGATCTGAATGTCTAAGAAATGAATACTAGTTGAGCTAATGTTCCAACTAAGTTGAATATTTTGGTGATTTCTATTCAAATGTTCATAAAATATATTTAAACCATGTGAATTTCCTTTCCATATGACTATAAGGTCATCAATGAACCTTTTATATAGAATTATTTCCTTTTTCGGATCACTGAAAAAATCCCATTTCACCGTGTACAAATTGGCTATGCTGGGGCAAACTTTGCGCCCATTGCTACACCCCTCTGTTGTAAAAAATATTCACCTTTGTAGCAGAATAGTTGTGGGTTAAACAAAATTTTAAACATTTTATGATGAACCTTTGGTGTTTCGATGGTATTTGGAAATATTTATTGAGGGCCCATTTTGCTGCCTCTATTGCTCCTTTGTGATTAATATTAGTATATAGCGCTGATACGTCGGCCGTGCTCATATTGGTATTGCTATTGGTAATTATTTCCTGGGTTAACTGTATGATATGTTTCGTTTCCTTTAAATAGGCTGGGGTTTTGCGTTACTAACGGTTGCAGAAAACTATCTATGTATTTCCCCCAAACGGGCTGACAGTGAGCCTATCCCGTTTATAATGGGACTTCCCTGGTTGTTTATTAGAGCTATTTCAGCTTGAGGTCATCACAGAGGACAAGGGGGCACTCTTTACGTCTGGAGGAAAAGAAATTTAATCTCCAAAACACAGAAAGGTTTCTTCACAGTGAGAGCTGTGAAAATGTGGAATAGACTCCCTCAAGAGTTGGTTCTGGCCAGCTCAGTGGATTGCTTTAAAAAAGTCCTGGATTCCCAACTAGCCTCCCTTTCTGTCCCGATCTCACCTTTAGAGATCGAGAAAACCATAAACAAACTCCCCATGCATAAATCACCGGAAAATGACGGCTTTACTAATGAATTTTTATAAAATGTTCGCGCCCCCATCTCAAATCACACCTATCTGATCTCTATAACTACGTTGCCCCTAAAGGAGAATTCCCCCCTGACATGCTGCAGTCAATAATCTCTACCATCCCAAAACCGGGTAAGGACCCCCAACTAGTCCAGAACTATAGACCAATTTCACTACTAAACATGGACCTAAAAATTTATGCCAAGATAATAGCTCAACGACTCCTCCCGTACCTTCCCACGTTGATCAACTCTGATCAAGTGGGATTCGTACCAGGTAGGCAAGCCCCTGACGCAACTCGACGACTTATATCATGATACACCACCTTGAATCGAACAAACAACCTTCACTTCTCCTATCTCTTGACGCAGAAAAAGCATTTGACCGCATTCACTGGCAATTTATGACACTTACACTACAAAAACTGGGGAATTACGGACTGGATTGCTGTCAGTGAAATTTTATCCCTCTACTCCAAACCCTCAGCTAGAGTCCTCAACTAATGGTACGCTCTCGCAGCCATTTCAAATATCTAACGGTACTCTAGACAAGCTGCCCCTCTTTCCCCCATAATCTTCGCTTTACTCATTGAACCACTGGCATCCAACCTTAGAAATTACCCCAATTTCTCGGGAATTAAATTTCTCCAGCACGAACACAAAATCAGCCTTTTTGCAGACGACGTTATTCTAATGATTACAAACCCCTACAAATCACTCACTTCAATACGTACGCACATACAAAACTATGCAGATGTATCTTATTATAAGCTCAACGAACGCAAATCTTTAATTTTAAACCTTCATACCCCTGCTCGGACCCAAAACCTCCTTACAAAACAATTCCCTTTCAAATGGGAAAAACATAATATCCCATACCTGGGGATTAAACTTACTCCCAAAACCAATCAACTCTATGCAGCTAATTTTCAGCCACTTCTTGACACAATCCCACAGGAGCTTAGGAAACCTACGTACAACCACGCATATCAATGCTGGGCAGAATATAGCTACTATTAAAATGTGTATATTGCCTAAA